CGAAGCCTGCCTTCTGCCTTGCGGAAGCAGTTGACTACTGTGTCTGTCTTCACATCTCGCCAGGTGTTGAAAATCTCCACGGGAGAAAAGTTTGCAGAGATTTCCGGCCACTCCTTCGTCATGCACTGCTGAATGTACTGGCTGCTGAAAGCTTTACTTTCGCCAGAAATGATTTTGCCAACAATGTTGTAGCGCTGCTTAAATCGGTGAAGTCACCCGGTGTTGTCGGCGAAGTTGGTTCACAGAGCGCAGTGGCAAACCATTTGGCCTGGTGATCAGCATCGGGCCATCCACCGGAATGTTCTTCAAGCGCATTTTTAAAAACCAGGTATAGAGTGCATTTTCTACATTCCTGTGGGCAGAAGCACGCACATGACAGGCTCCAAATGTTTGCTGCTCTGCCGCGTTTCCTTGATATCTGCTTTGTTCTTCAGCAAGGTACTCAGAGTGCTCCGTGGTATCTCGAAGTCTTCCGCGACGATCAAACATTTCTCACTCGCCTCAACACACTGACAGCCTTCAACTTCGTCGCAAAGTTAAGAGTCTTGTGCGTCTTGACGCTGGCGATAGCTACACGAGAAGCCGACAATTCAAAAGTCTGCACCGGCTTTGCACACCACGCACGCAAAAGAGAAATGCTGCACATGCGGTGGTACGTTGGCGATGCAACAACGAAAGCAACAAAGCTCTCGCGAGGCGCTGGCCACCTGCGAGGGTGCAAAAGGCGCGAGCTGTGGTTGGCTGATCAAAACTCCCAAAACAGCAACAAAAAATGAAAGAAAAGGCGAAAGGAGGAGGACGTCGGCTCCTTCATTTCTGCTTTCCGAGCCGACAGCTATGCGGAGAAAGCATAAGAGAGAGAAAAAGACAAAAAAAAAAGAAAGCCGTTCCGCAAGTTAAGAGATTGTGCTTCGTCAATGAATTGTGCAGCCCGAGCCCTCTTACCCTTGTCTTTTTTTTTTTTTTGAACGTTTCGGGTTTTGGTGGAGGCGTGGTGCCGCGCAGAGGTCACCGTGCCAAAATGCACCTTTTCAAGCGCTTGAAGCCGCACAGCCGCGAAGATCGCGGGGCGCGGTGAGTGCCAAAGCACACCTTCCAGCTGTACGGCGTTCGATATAGCCGAAGGTGGGTAAAAATACCATTTGATATAAACATGCAAGTTTTTATACTTTTACAAAGAAACTTCAAGGGGATAACTTAGGAGTTTGATATTCCCGAAAATTTGATATATGTGGGTTCGATATATCCGTGCCAGACTGTATTCGAATTAGCTTTGCACCCAAAATTTCCCTATTCACACAGCTCTAATCTTTACCGAACTAATCTGCAAAATATTTCACAAGAGTATAAAGTTGGGCACTTTCGTAATGCATAACTGATCATGTAGAACAAATATTTGACATTAGGCAAGGTTGCTGGTATCTTATCTTGTCACACTGCGTACTACATCTCCTGGCTTGTTCCACAAGAATGCCGCCCCACGCTTTGGGCCACCATGGGGCCACGCCAGCCCAATTGCGATCATGTTGTCGCATCGTGATGAAAAAGCAAAGTAGGCACGCTCTCAAGCGCACTTATGCTTTTTTAAGCCTGTCATGCTTGTTCGCGTGGTTGGCATGGTTTGCGCAAGCAAACAAAGCAGTACAGTTTGAACAGCAGAAGCATGCGTATGCTTGCTCAACTCTATTTACTGGTGAAAAGCGGGTCCTCGCAGCACACTTGAACTTTCCCATGATAGCAGCTTGACCTGCCCTGTGCACGGACTAACCCTTCAACAATGTCGAGTCCAGCAACACATGGAATGTCGACCTTGTCCACGGTCATATGAAAGGTGCTCTCCCTCAATGTGAAACGCGCCATTTTGGATGAAGTTCACCAGAAAATTAAGAATGACATTGTGTGAAAGTATGACATAGCCCAGTCCACTTTGGGGAACATCATTAAAAATGCCAGCGAAATAGATGCTGTTTTGGACGACGACATTGGCAGCAGTCAGTGGAAGCGGATCCACATTGCCACTCACGGCAATGCTGGAGCGGCGCTCTACGAATTATTTGTAGATGCTCGTGCAAAGAACGCTCCTCTCGGTGGGCCAATCTTGCTTGTAAAGGCCAAAAGTCGGGTTTGTTCATGAGGACTTTAATCTAGTCAACGGATGGTTGCAGCAATTCAAAGGCTGCCATAGCATCAAGTACACCAAACTACATTTGTTCAGAAGGACGGTTTTCAGCATTGGATGGAGAAACACAGCTGCTGCATTCTTGACATTCTTGACAAAGTCGGCGCTCTGCTGACTTCCCGGGAAACCACTTTCAACCATTGATCAGGCATCGGCGAGGGGCCCATAGATCCTTATTGTTAAACGCCGACCCTGCCTCTGCACTCCTCTAGTTGCCGCTCTCACCGACGGCTTTTTGTTACGCACCCCTCTGCCCTTTGTCCTCCCCCTCCGCTACTCTTGAGCACCCTGCATTGCCAGACGAGGCTTGTGTTTTTACACTGCAACCGATCTTTCGAAGACCGTTCGGCCATCTTCCCTGTTTTTGATCGCTGGTACTGTTGTTGGCGTCGCCGGCCTAGAGTGACCAGACCACTTGCCGACATCGACGGCCACCGACTGTATCTGATCGTCTGCGGCTTGTCTTATTGTATCGTACCCCACTGACTCTGCTAATTCGCGATTCGTTTTGTGTTTAGAAACTGTTCTCGCTCACTTCGCACTGGGCTCAGCACGCCCTCCGCACGTGTGGGGAAGCGTAAAAACGGCTGCTAATTTGCGCGGAATGAATTGCGAAATATCGAAGTCGGTGAGGCCACGCAAACCCACAGGCGCAACAGAACAATTCTTTGACCACGGCCGCTGATGCATTGCACACCGCCGAGCGTGCCGATCCAGGCGGCCGTGCTTTGACCTCTGCGTGCGCAGGCACTCTTTTCTATGCGTGAGTTGCTCGTTTTGCAGTCGCCTTCCCACTGTATCCTCCCCTCTCTTCACCCTATCGCAACTCCTTGCCCTTCTCTTCAAATCTGCTCTCCTCTCATGATAACAACTCCTTCGCCCGTCTCCACTGATCCGCGATGCCAGCCATGCTGGCTCGAATACAGAAGTTTTATTTTCCAACTAGAAATGGGCACAGAGCTGTACCACGCGTTCTGGCATCTGTGTCGCGGGTCCGCGTATTGCTCACTCTTGGTGTGCGTGTGTGTGGTCAGGATGGCAGACGGGAGGTCTTGCACGCTTTTTCCTGCCACTCTACAAAACTTCAAAAGTGGGACCTTGGCTTGGGCGTAATTCACAGATTATGTGCCGCGTTGCGGAGCGCTTGATCATAGCTGTTTACTACCTGGCAGCCAACTTGCCTCTTCGGGCGTCTCGGTATTCAGCTGTGGAGATGGTGAATATTTCGTGGGCGGCGGTGACGACTACATGCGCGCGAAACTGTTTTCACGAGGCCGACTTCGTCGTCGTGGGGCCCAATGCCGAACCTGAAGCTTACAAACCAGATCACTGCGGCGGCAATTTGTGGCAGCACGTTGTCGACTCCGACATGAGAGAGCAGGAGGAACATTTGTTTCGATGGTTTCATTACGGCCGATGATGATGCAGACACCTCGGAATCATGCACGGATTAGGGCATTGTGAATGAAATATGCGGCAAAAGCGATTTGAAGGAATCGGATTGCAATAACGACGAAACTTTGGAGCCAGTGCCTTATGCAGCTTATGCCACGGGCCTCGGCAAAGAGCTTGCTGCAGTTTGAAATAACTCCAGATCACCCTTATCGCTTCTGCTCTTCGAAACACGTGCGTCGCCGACTTTTCTGGGCAAAAAATTTGTGTTTTCACAAGCCACTTTTTTAAAAGTTGCGTTTTATTTACTACAAACTTCGGGATACAGTGTACGGGTGCCGCGTCAGGCTCAGTCAGGTTCATTATAAGTGAGCTCGACTGTATCGCCGCCGTGTAATTGAGTGTTTTCTCCTCGAGGTCTGAGCAGCTGATAACTCGGCTGACTTGAAGGTGTCGCTGGTGAAGGCAATATTTTTCGCAATTGGAGCCTGGAGGGACATGAAGTCTCGGACACCCCTTCATTGCTTCCAAAAAGCGGGTTTCTCGCGGGGAAGCAGCACTGCTGATGAAGAAACAGCAGCATCTGGTGCCGCGGTGGTGACGAGCTTAGGGCAGGTTTGGGAGACTGCTGTCAATGCAAGCCTTGTACCAAGCGGGTTAAATTATATGGCCTTCACTCTTGTGGATGAAGACCACGTCGCAACTGAGAAGCTCATCACCGACGAACTTGCCACTAGTGTCTCGGAAAAGGAAACAATTGCTGATAGCAGTGCCTCGGACACCGAAGGCGACGACATTGCTTCACCTGAACCAGTGACTTCTGGCGTAGCTCTCGCAGTTGTCGATGCACTGTGTATGTATTTGAGTTTTGAACCGTACATTTGCGCTCTGGTGGACAGTGTTGAGGCCAGGGTTCTAAAATGCGCATTGCAAAATGCATGCAGGGGACACTGGACATTTTTTTTTTACAGAGGGTATAAACAAAATTTTCTGCTATGTTTGCCTGATGTTAGAACTTTTATTTTTAGGGTCTGAATATAGCCAAGAAGTACTTATAGCAAAGTAATGTCCAACTCGCACCAACTTTTTTGAAACTGAGCTACACTGTACACGTGTCCTAAACAACAGTACAATACAAAGTGGGTGAACCAAAAATGAACAAAGTTTTTTGACCAATGTCAAGGACGTCGTAAAGTCCCTTTTTTTTTTTTTCCCATGGCAAGCTTAAGATAGCTCAACAATATCACAATAGCCCTTTTATGTGAGTTCTCAACGAATATGCCGAACTTGCCAAGAATTCCAGATAGCGAGAACGTCCCCGTGTCAGACCAACATGTACGAACACACAGCGGGATAGAAATGTGACAAGTGAGATGCTTCGAGATACAGAAAGACTCTCGCATAGTGCCAACCATGTTCGAATGCTCACCCTTGTTGCCAGGTGGCTGGAGAGGATGTCCGCTAAGGCGGCACCACCCAACAGGGAAGATATCCCGAGAGTCAAAACGGCACCAGTAGTCAAAGGCACCACGCCAACCGTCAAAGGTGACAAACAGCATGTCATCCTTGACTGCACCGACAGTGGCAGGGCATATGAGATGCGGGTTCTTGCGATCCAGTGCTTCCAGCTTCATGCCCACCTTGAATTCATTGCTGCGTGGGCTGGCTGGTTCCTGCGCAGAGCAGCCAATAAGCAAACAGGTGCCGCCTTCTCACCACGTGTGTGCCATGAGAAGCCGCTTCCGCACAAAATTCGAGATTGTAATAATAATCAATAGCTATTTCCAATTTTACTAAAAGCATCCTAGAATTGAGAGCTTGGCTTAAAAATGGCAAGAAATATGAATGCTGTCAGCTTTACAGCAGAGACAGACCTTTTGCTCGTAAGCAGGTGTGAGCGAATATTCAAATTTAGAATTTTTTCGAATGGTGTTTGCTATTTGAACTTCTCAAAGACAAATACAGCCAATGTCCCGTTAACAGTGGCCCCTTCACACTTATTAACAGTCGCATTGCAACAAAGCGGCTTTTCAAACTGCTATGGTAACAAATGGTAGTAATCACACCATAGCAAATGCTATGGCAGCAAATGGTAACGAACACACTGGCCCGAGAAAATGCTGATTCCAACATGGAGATGTACGGTGCCGTTAAAATCATAGTTTCATAAAATTAACTAGAGGAGACTCTGGTGCTGCAATCATTCAGCAACCATGGAAATACGGAATAACGAGTAGTACACTAATTTCTTTACTCTTCACTTCGATCTTGCACACTTCGAATGCATTTGTGGCTTTGTTTATTGCTGCGTCTTCGTTTTGTTTCACATCAAAGAACAAACCATCTTGAACTTGGTGACCTGATTTGAATTGGTGAGCCTAAAAGATAAAAGGTCAAGGTGGGGAAGTGCAACTGCAGAACATTTCCTGACTGTGGTTTTGTGACAAAGCAACTTTATGCCATACGAAGCCAATCAAAGCTGAATATATCAAAATTGAACGACCCCTTCATGTTTTGAATATGCTTCACCACATCACATTCTGGTATTGCGGCCAAGCTGCCTTTAGGGCTCCACTACAGCCTTTATTTTACGAAAGCGCAGGTTCCATGCCCTCGACTGCCAAATCAGTTGGGCCTCCACAAATGTTGAGGAGGGGAGTGGTGCATGAAACAGTCTTACCCTTTCATGTGTAAAGTGCTGTAGACCTCACATTGGTTGCACCAAATCATGTAAATCTGATCTCTGCATTGCCTCATCCATGATGAAACAACTGAGGAACACTATCCCTACAACACTCACCGAACTTAGCCAAAAGAAACACTTCCATGTTAAAATCTCATATGAATGTCCTTGGGAATCTACTGAAAGTTTTTCTATCTCATTACCTTGAATTAGCCGAGAAATATTAAACAAGTATTCAATAACTGTTTGAAAAATACTCAATTCGATTCGCACTGAAACTTAAATACTAGAATTCACTCCACATCCACAAATTTTCTATTCACACAGCTCTACTTGTAAGGGAGAACAGGCTTGCCACTCAGTAGTGGAGCCATCTGTGTTGAGTAGGCTTGTGCTAATATTTGAGTGCTTCGAATATTCGAACGAATATTACTGTACACGAATTTGCTTCTATTTGAATTAATATTTTTGAAAATTTCAAAGTAATCAAAATGAACAAATTAATGTGTATTACACTAAGCAACATTTTTTCTGTGGCAGCCTGGCCAAGGCTACAGAGGCAAATCATGCTGGTTTGACTGCGGTGTTTGACTACACTGGTTAACTAAAATTTTACCGTTGACTATTTGATTTTTGGGAATTTCAAAGTAATCAAAATGAACAAATTAATGTGTATTACACTCAGCAACATTTTTTCTGTGGCAGCCTGGCCAAGGCTACAGAGGCAAATCACGCTGGTTTGACTGCGCTGTTTGACTACACTGGTTAACTAAGATTTTACCGTTGACTATTTGATTTTTGGGAATTTCAAAGTAATCAAAATGAACAAATTAATGTGTATTACACTCAGCAACATTTTTTCTGTGGCAGCCTGGCCAAGGCTACAGAGGCAAATCATGCTGGTTTGACTGCGCTGTTTGACTACACTGGTTAACTAAGATTTTACCGTTGACTATTTGATTTTTGGGAATTTCATTTATTAAAAAATCAGAACAATCAGTAAAACCATTGCGGAGTGAAAAATTTTTTTTCACTCGCCGACAACGAGGTGGCGCACGAACCAGCTCAAGAGCTTACGGATCGAACCGCCACCGTTGCCATCGCCGCCTCGGCCGCGACGTCGGGTGAGGAATGGAAGTGGAAAAAATGCCCCACCAGTTTTAAGGATAATACCCAGCATTACAGAACGGCCAGGTGCAACTTTCCACCAACACACCAAAAACTGAACAAAAAAATCACAGCATATCCACAGAGTGAATGATGATGAGTGGGGCAAAGTGCCTGTCAGCCCTTCTGTGCTTTCGTCTGTCCGTTCATTCTTGCTCCCGTCCGCGCGATCATCCGTGCATCAATCCATGCATCCATCCGTCTGTGAGTCCATTAATCCGTCTGCCTGTCCGATCATGCTTGTATCCATCCGTACGTCTGTCTGCTAGTCTGTCTGTCTGTCCATCTATGCGTCCATCTAGTGAACACTCCAAGTACCCCCATCTCTCATCTCGCAAGCCCTGTGGCACATACCCGCTCTATAATGGGTATGTGACACCGGCTGTGTACGTACGTATGTACGTACGTATGTACATACATACATGCATACATATATACATACATATGGAGCAGCGACAGACCCACACCGTAGGGAGCTTCGCTCCTAAAAGCAGGTGGTCCTTGGGCGTCAGATGCAGACCAGAACTGTTTCCAAACCCGGTGATCTTGAATCTCTGTTACCCAGAGCTTTATACGTCACGCTGCAAGTTTTGTGAGATCAGGGCAACCCTGGAACACAGGTTATGGAAGTTTGGCAGAGGTGGGCTCCAGACAAGGGCGCAGCCTCGAACCGAAAGTGCTGGGAGAGTGCACTGCTCAGCTATGCCCTCGAAGACTAACTGTGGGCCATCCAGCGGGCCAAGGCCGTTGCCACAGCTCAAGGGCTCATGGCCGAGAGCTAAGCGGGGATATCTGCCCAGATCCCTGAATAACTCGCCGAATGTTTTTTTTAAAAATAAAGTTGAGTCTCTCTTTCTTCATGCTCTCTCAAGCTTTGTGGTTTTTTTGGCGTCTGTTGCTATTTTACTTTGCCTTTAAAAAAAGATGGAGTCCCCCGGCTGCAGCTCATCAACATCTCCTACAGAGAAAGTTCCACCGCATCTCCTGAGTCCACTAGCTTCGCAGCCATGGCAAGCGTTGTCAAATGAAAAGCTGTCCGTACAGGTGACGAAAATTGTGAACGACGTGTATGTACAAATAACCAGAATCGACCTGCCGCTGTCTGTGAGAGGCTGCATGTCGAAAGGTCAGCAAGCTTACTGGTGTTACCCGGGTCCTATTGTGTCAGCAAGACACTTTACAATAAATGGGGACAGGGTACTGAGAGTCTTTTGCGGCTCTGTGCACTGAATAACATGGAAACAAGGGAAATTTTCTGTCGGCTATTTCACGGAATGCAACATCACGAAAATTCACGGACTATTTCTCAGACTGCCTCGATTATGCGCACAATACAGAAACTACCTCAAATGACATCGGAAATTGCACACGCTGAAAGGCGCCAATCATTTCATTCTATGGGCGCGCACTCGATTTCAAGACATTGTAATCAAATCACGAACCACCATTCGAGTGCTGATATTGATAGGGGGGTTTAATGTCCCAAAACAAACATATGATTATGAGAGACGCAGTGGAGGGCTCTGAAAATTTCAACCGCCTGGGCTTTTTTAACGTGCACCCAAATCTGAGCACATGGGCCTACAGCGTTTTCGACTCTATCAAAATGCAGCCGCCTCAGCTGGGTTTCAATCACACAACACGCATTTCCTTAGTACCTTAACCACTAAACCACCGCGGCGGAGCACGATTCGAGTGCTACACATGCACACTCGTTATCACTGACAATATTGTCCTTCCTTTCACGTGCAGCCATTTCAAAAAGTTGCATTGCACGCGAGCGCTACACAATGGAACTAACAATGATTATGCCCGGACTGCCGTTCGGTATGCTGATGGGGGAAGTTTGTCTGAGACATGAAGATTGGGCGTCGAAAAGATCGCACTAAAGTTCACACTCCAGAAGGACAGTGTGCATCATGCCAAGTTTGCGTTCTTGGCCAGGGGACAAACGACGAAAAACAGGTAAGCTTAAGCAGGTAAGCTCGCAAAAACCGGTTACTCTCCCTTGGACGAGGGCAGCAACGTTCGTTGCAGAGAGAAAAACCAATACAGTGAGCAAAACAAAGGTGCCGACAGCGAGACGCTCTCTCTTGCACCGGCCGCCAGACGGAGAACAAGGCTTGAATTTGCCTGCGAGCTAAGGTTATTGACGACAAAAGGCGTAAGCATATAGCCTTTGTTATCTTTCTAAAGCGGACAGTCCCCGTAGGCGACATTTACACGTTATTGGTAACGTAGCAATAATGTGTTGTTTTGTTGACCTAGCCTGTGACCTTATATGCCGGAACCCATCGTAGCTATGACGACTCGAGCTACGGGAAGGGGACGTTAATCCTGCACAGTGCGACTGCGTGAGGCTTCTACGCCAGCCGTGAATAGGGTGAACCCCTTCAAGGTTAGGTCAGGTTAGTTTGTCGATTTGCACTAAGCAGCTGTAATCTTTATGACCCACAAATATTGGATCAGAGCAATACACAGAAGACTCGCATAACTATTTCTTCTACTGGTTATGGCATGTGCCAGCTGAGAACTTTCTACCATGCACTGAAAATGTAAAGGAGGGCAGCCCACTACTCACTGGCTTGAAGTAAGACTCCGAGGCGATGTCAGCCTTGTTGAGGGTCTTCAGCAAGAACATCGGCCATGAAGAGGCATTCATGCGAAAGCCCAGTGGGGGCTGCAGCATTCCACCGATCCGCTCGCAATGCCCTATAGGCTTCACCTCCTGCACAATTGTACTGTACATGAAGACTCACAGTTCACGTCCCTCTCCCAGTGTTTAGAAATATCGTTGAGGAACCTGTTCCTAAGCTAGTTATTGTCTATGCTTAGTGAACATGTTGTCCCTGATACACAGTGTAAAACATGAAAAAAGAACATGTGGCGTTCCTTTGTCTTTTCTGTCTTGATCTTTTATCAAACTTCACGCCAGAAAGAACTGGCCCTGCATGCACTCATTAATACAGTGTTGACAAACGTTTGATTCAGCTTCGAAATTCCAGGAAACAAGAGTCTATGGAGGACGTTTGTGTCAAATGGTGGACATCGTTGCAGTGTTGTAAAGAACAGATATACAGATACAACCTTGACGTGGCAACACCACTTTACAACATGCCATTCAAATTCATTTGTGAGCTGCTCATGCACGTTGAACCCTGTCATAAGGTAGTGGGGAGAGACTTACCACCTCAAGAAAAGCAGCAGTCCACTTACCACTACACGAAGCATGAGAGACATGTCTCGCAACAAGAATGCTTTAAGCTTACACAGGTGTGATGAATGAAGACAATTTACAATGCGTGGCAAAGTGAACATGCATAGCTGCTACATCCCCCTCACAAAGACTGCTCTTGGCACTCACCTCGGAGTCGACCAAGCGCCAGAAGTCATTCTTGTTGTCACCCCCGTCTAGGCGCAGCCGCAGCCGAGGGCCCTGGATGCCCACTACCGTTGCGATGCATGTAGAGGTGACATTGCGTGGGTCCTGGGCCTCCAGCTTCATGCCCGCACGAAACTCATTCTTGGGTGGCTCCGGGTTCTGTCATTAATTCAGACAAGGCTCAACAATGAAATAAAGCGATTTCTGTGTGAACCTCACAACCACATGAATTATACTAGGGACAAAACATAAAATAGACGCTCGTGAACTTAGCAACTTAGTCATGACCAAAGAGTGGCTGTCAGGCCAGGATTGACGCTGCAATCTTGGGCTAACAGATTCTCTGCTTACCCTTGTTCAAAAAACTGTGCCTTTCTTCAACACTCAGTGACCAACTACTTATTGATTACAATGCTGCCGCTCGATTTCAGAACAGTGCGCAAGTCTACGTAGAATTACTCCTCAATCTCTGCACCGTCCACCCTTAAGAAAAAAAAAAGTAAGGTTCGCAAACACACAAACAAGAAAATGAAAGCAAACCACACAAGTGACTGTGATAAGTGAAGCGCATTTGAAAAGTGTGCCAACCCATCAGCATGACTCGCATAGAAAGACAACGACGACGACTGAATGCGTGGACGCGAGCTTGTTCGGTGCTTTCATCAAGGAAGATGAAGTGCAGACAGAGTGCGTGTGGTGACGTCGGTAAACTTGACCAATTAGAGGATCCCACGCGATTTGGAGAAGCAGCCGGAAAAAGACCAAATCCGTGGCTGAGACGTGGCCGACCCGTGGCTGAGATGTGTCGGAGGAGAGCAGGCTACAAGGGCGTGGGAGTGGCGACTGTTCCTGGGGCCAGGCCGCTGCGGGCTCTCACCTGGACGCGTCCCTGAGCGTTGGCTGGGCTGCTCGTCGCCTGGCGTTGGCCAGGTAATTTGTCTGGCGTTGGCTGGGCTGCTCACTGTCTGGCGTTGGCCAGGCATTTTGTCTGGCGTTGGCACGGCACTTCCCATTCGTTCCCCGTTTCACATCCAAGCTTCAAAAGGGGATCGCTGACGGTGCGCTGACCTTGGGTCCACCGACGATACCTACCTGCCTTTCGAGATAGACCAACCCGTGACCCTGACTGCCTTTCGCCACATCAAGCCTCATCGTCTGCGTTTGCCTCGCTACAGAATGGTGACCGTCGTTTGTCGTTTCTTGTGAACCGAAGCACCATTCGCATTTAGCCATCAGCTTTCTAGCCTTGTTAACTTTATTTTTTTGCATTATCTGGTTTTATTTCTTATCATTTTTCTTTTCCTTCTTTTGTTTAAATCAAGGGTTGGTGTTCTTTTTTTTTTTTTGCACAAATGGTCTCGTATATTCTTCCCCGATGACAGTTCTGTCATTGGCTTGGCACTGACATGAACCAACACGAGAGCTGTGTGATGCCACAGTCACGAGAACAGCCTCGTGACAGTGACAATGTCTGTTTCCCTGTAGTCGTATTGAGGTCTGCAAGCCACATTTTTTTCTCACCTAACAAGAACTCACCTGTCTGCTGTGATGATCTTCCAACTAACTAGTGAAATCACGTACAAACTGCTCAGAGCCAATACATGATCACTAGTTTTTACAACCATTGCAGGAAAAATAATCACGAATTACGACCAATGAAACCACGGATGGTGACGACGCAGTTCTGAAAGCACATGATCAATGTTCACATTTATTCAAAATGGAATTACTGTTTCCTGGAACATCGCAATAAAACCGTGGTCACAATTGCTGTGATTAAGAGTAGCAACTATGCATTCACAACTGATTTTCATGCAGTGATAAGCGCAAAAATGAAGGCTATAAAGACACAAATAGAAAGCAAGCATACCGTAGGGTTCCTAGATGTCCCTGCAACAGTGCAGACTCTGCTGCTTTGTATCAGCTGGCTGCCAGAGTTACTTTCGCATTTTACGTTGCACATTTGTAGAGCTCTGCATTAGATTAGCTTGGAGGGTTGTGTGATTCCCCAGATGTGAACAAACAGTTCGTAATTAAGGACTTTAAGGTCAGCAAGTAACAAATATGCTAGCCAAGAGCTGAAGGGAAGTTTAAGGAGTCCGATTTTACAGCAGTGAACACTGGTCAAACTGATGAGGTTTTACTGTACAAGGGCCTTGCCCCAAGTGCACTGTTCAAGGAGTCCACTGATACAGCCCTACTTGAAACACTGGAGTAGTCATAGCTACCAGCTTTATACGAAAAATGAGGTACATGTTTGTATCAAGGCCTTTTAAGGGCCCACATACCTGTTTGAAGCATGTAGATGGCGCAGGTTGGGAGTTGGTCTCCTTCAGGTATTCGTCCCAGTCAAAGTAGCCTGCACGTCAAAACCCTCAATTTGTCGCTTCTATTTCCTAGTTGCACATAACAGACGAATAAAAAAAGAGGCAAAAATAATTATGTCTCGTCAAATCCTGTGAGGGACTTATAAAGTACTACTGTAGTAAGGCAACTTGTTACAGAAGAGCGTCTGCTATATCCAACATCACAGTTGTGCTTCCTTGAAAAACAAGGTAACACAACTCTTTTGCTTTTAAAGCAAATGAGTTGTTACTTTGCATTAATTTCTGAACCAGTTCAGATAACGCTATTCGCAGATTACTGCCTACTTTTTAAAAGGACACTAACGTCAAATAACAATTTACGTCAAAGTGAAAGCTCAATGTATGACAACATTTATAACAACAATATTATCAACAGTGCCCCACTTATCGAGAGGAAAATGCACAATAAGGTAAATGCACAAGAACACAAGTGCCGCAGTAGGACATCTTCAACATGATCCCGATGACATCAGACGAGCCACCTACAAAAAATCACTAGTAATCGATCTAACTACACTAAATAGAAAACCTTCCTTGCATCAAGAGACGCAATAAAATGCTCCCTGTTCATTTGTTTGATTCATGGAAAAAAGAACCGCCGAACGTTACTATGTGGAACGGTGCAAGTGGTTCAAAAATTCGATTTTCACGAGGTTACACAGGACAGTAACTCAGGGAACAAATTGCAACTCATGATCACGCAGTTAGACAAGGAGAGCAGAAAGGTGGGTCTTAAAATGAATCTACAGAAAACGAAAGTAATGTACAACAACCTCGGAAAAGAGCAGCGCTTCGAGATAGGTAATAGTACACTTCAAGTTGTAAATGACTATGTCTACTTAGGGCAGGTAATAACCGCGGAGCCGAAACACGAGATTGAAGTAACTAGAAGAATAAGAATGGGGTGTAGCACATTTGGCAAGCACTCTCATATTATGACAGATTGATAGCTACTATCTCTCAAAAATAAGGTATATAACAGTTGTATCTTGCCGGTACTTAGCTATGGAGCAGAAACCTGAATACTTACAAAGAGGGTTCAACTTAAATTGAGGACGACGCAGCGAGCAATGAAAAGAAAAATGGTAGGTGTAACCTTAAGAGATAAGACGAGAGCGGAGTGGATTAGAAACAAACAGTGGTTAAGGATATCATAGTTGAAATCAAGAAGAAGAAATGGACATGGGCGGGGCATGTAGCGCGTAGACTGGATAACCACTGGATTCCCAGAAAAGGAAAGCAGGTTAGGGGGAGACAGAAGGTTAGATGGGCAGATGAGATTAAGAAGTTTGCGGGTATAAATTGGCAGCAGCAAGAACAGGACCGAGTTAACTGGCGGAACATGGGAGAGGCCTTTGTCCTGCAGTGGACGTTAGTCAGACTGATGATGATGATTACACGGGACAGGTGGTGCCGTCTAGCAGGGCGCAGTTGAAAAAAAAAAAAAAAAACTGCAATCTCGAAGCCAATGACGGGAAATCGATCAATGGCCGTTGTTGCTGCTGTGGCTTTCGCTGCTTTTGGTCTGCTGCTACTAGCACAGTAAAGTCGGGCAACATTGTGCACAGCAGCAGTGATGTGAGACGGTCCGGTCGGTCCGCTTCTTGAGGCGGGTAATTTGAAGTGCGCTAACCCGATGCAGCCCACTAAAATGTGATTTTATTTCAAAATGGGCCCTTGCTTGGCATAAAAGTAACACTACGAGGTTTCTGGACCGCCATTTCAACAATCATGATTGATTGATTGATGTGTGAGGTTTAACGTCCCAAAACCACCATATGATTATGAGAGACACCGTAGTGGAGGGCTCCCGAAATATAGACCACCTGGGGTTCTTTAACCTGCGCCCAAATCTGAGCACACAAGCCTACAACATTTTCGCCTCCATCGGAAACGCAGCCCCCGCAGCCGGGATTCGATCCCGCGACCTGCAGGCCAGCAGCCGAGTACCTTAGCCACTAGACCACCGCAGCGGGGCTATTTCAACAATCAACGTGGACTTAATAGTTGCCTTGAGCGTCCCTTAATGTAATCACCTGCCAAGAAAATTAAGTTACATTAAACTCCAGCTTTCAATATATTTTAACATGATGTGAACGCTGGGACATGCAGCTTAATATTCATAAAGCAGTATTTATGAAAGTCACCAAAAACTAATGAACTCTTGTTCACTTACAATATTGCAACCCACACCATCTAAAGAGGTTGATGAATATAAGTACCTAGGTGTCATAATAACTAATGACCCCAGTTGGAACTACACTAAAACCTCCTTATTTCAAAATCCTTGGGGCCGCGAGAAATCTTCGAATTAAGTGGTTTTCTGAATTAATGAAACATACAAAAAGTGGGATGTAAGAAACTTACAACCATTCAATGTAATCGGAGCTCGACGTTTGTTGTGCCGGCTAGCTAGCGGCTTGAAGAATTATGTTTTCCAGCAATACCCGTTCTTAATTTTGCTGCAGACTTGGGGGAATGGTGGGCCTCGCTATTGCCACCGAAAAAAAAAAAGAAAAGGAAACAAAAAACGATGTCGTGATGAACTGAAATGTGTGCCTGCAAAAAAGAAGACATCTTTACTGCAACCTGCAACACAGTAGTGACACGCCGGCAGCATGTCGCCCTCTCCTCGCTGCGTCAGAACGTCATGACTGCGATTATTCGCACATTCTTTCTGGTATAATTGGGAACTTAATAATAACCAATATGACGAAACTCGCGATGTGTTTTGGCTGAAAAAATTATTTTTGGAAACTTTCAAACTTCGTTTTTGAATTAGGCTGTTGCTGGCAAGAGCTCCGCAAGCAGTGCAAAGGCACGAATTGCTGGAGCAACTGGCAAACAGAGGTTCGCATACATCGTGAATTATGCCAAACTGTCCTTTATCATAAATTTCTCTACAATAACAGAAAGGATGGGTAAAACATGACCCGCTGACGTTGCTGGAAACATAAGATATGCTGCCCGCGCGTCACCATTGTGTTGCAGTGAAGCACTTCTAGTTTTGATTGACCACGAAACAGTTTTTTTTTATTTTTAGCTGGAAGTAGCGAGGCTGCGGTGCTTTAGCTGCCACTCATTAGTATCGCTACATTGCATTGCGTTGTGGCTATTAAGGGCCGTCCTTTCCGCGGATTCACAGAGAAATCGGGATCTGGAACTCGCACATGGCACCCAACGTTTTTGTATTAACCCGTCCGGTGCCGGCTGCCGTTTCAAATTATCCACTCAGACTTACATGGAAAAAACGGGACCACGGAAATCCTTCAAATTAAGTGGGATTTTAAAATAAGAGAGTTCAAATTTTTGAGGTTTTACTGTACCACATCTCACCTTCGCGACTCGACTTTAAAAAAACTCTACTACCTCAGACACAAATTAAAACACGCTCCTAACGAGACCCATCTAACATCAGACACAAATTGAAACACGCTCCTAACGAGATCCATCTAACAGCTTATAGTTCACTTGCCTGTCCTAAGATGATTGATATGTGAGGTTTAACGTCCCAAAACCACCATATGATTATGAGAGACGCGGCCTATTCTAAGCTAGAATACGCAGCTATCGTATGGGATCCTTACACTAAAACTAACATTGATGCGCTAGAAAAGATCCGACGACAAGCAGTAAAGTTTATCTTTTGTGAATATTCTTCCAGGTGACTCTCCAAGTGTCATAATGACCCATCACAACATTCATTCCTTGCAACTAAGAAAAAAAATTCACAGGCTTCTGTTCCTACCGTATAATAATAAGTCGTTTCTTTTTCCTGAACCTTATTTAAACCCCTCAGTGCTTGCCGAACAAGACATCACCACTTTGCCACATTAACGCCTTACAATGCCAAAACCAACATAATTGAGCATTCCTTTTTCTCTCGAACAGTAGCAGACTGGAAAAGCCTACCTCTTAGTGCACTCAGCAACACCAACTCTATCGTATCCATTACATGCTAAACCTAGCTTTTCCTGCTTTAAATAAGACTTTTTTTTCTCTGATACCTCTTTTTTTATTTTGTTTACAGATACCCTTGTACATTGACTAGATAGTTATGTACTGATGATCTTCTCGTTCTGTATATTTGTTTTCGTTGTTTCACATTCTTTTTAAGAACTTAGTTACTTAATGGTAGATTAACTTTGTAATTAGTATGTTATTTTTGATACCTGCACGCTTTACTGTTTGTACCTTTGCCCTTCTGCCTGGGCCTTTTTAAAGCCTGCAGTATTCCTAAACAAATAAATTTAAAAATAAACGAGCCGTATTAACAAGAAAGAAGCTGATGGGTGCTGCATTGTACATAGAAAAGATACACAGATGGATGTTTGCTAAAGCAACAACAGAGAAAACGCGAATCTCGAAAGAAACCAATTACATCAGTTTTAGCTATTTATCTGCAGTATCTGGCAAAAGCCCTTGATTGTCTTCACTACACCACACTTTTCCCAAAGCTTGAACAACATGTGGCAGGTATTGTTCCTCCTAACTTCGATTTCCATCACATTAGCCATAACGGTTCAAAATCAACATTTAAATTAATTCAATGCTATATAACATGAGAAAGTTATATGGGGCCACTGCTCTTTTGTTGATACAAATGACAGTCATCCCCAAAATGTGTAAACAATAAATGGCCTGCAGGATCCTAGATTTTCTGCACAAGCACAAGTTTAAGCACTCTCATTACTTCACTGACCTGTGCTCGAAAGATTGCTATCTCGTGTAACAAAAACTGCCGAAGAACTAAAAGAATATACAAACCACCAAGTTGGGCACTAAGCATTAAACCCCAAATCTTGTTTCAAGACATGCTGTGGCTTAATAACAAGCAAGAAAAAACCACGATGCTATTATGAGAGACAGCGTAATGGAGGGCTCCGGAAATTTCAAGCACCTTGGTTTTCTTTTAACGTTCACTAAAATTTAAGCACACGGGCCTCGAGCATTTCTGCATTCGTAGAAAATGTGGCTTCTGCCGCCACGATTT